CTTTGACAAGATATGGTTGTTTATGGAGCTTTGCGACACTGTCAAGCATCTTGATCACAACGTCCCATGTGGATAATATAGACAAGACACCATCATTTCCGATTAATTCGAGCGCCCTTCGGAATCCACGAGCTACCGTGAGCACATAGTTGAGGAGGACGCAGTCCTTGTGTGGGCTATTGATGTCGTATTCGTGCGGTAGATTTAACGGTAGAAATACATGGAGAATGATGTAGGCTAGTTCCTCGAAACTGGGCTGCATGCTGCGAGTTCCCGAACGCTATAACAGGACCAAAAAGAATGAGTCGATCATCCTTTGTGAATCGGGGACTTTCAACTTACATTCGGTTGAAAAGAACACGAAAATTTGATTATGCTTTGTGATTATTGGCCGAAGTTGTAACAATGGAAATATGGACTGAGGAAGGAGGAGTACGGAAACTGGTAGGCGACCAATCCGTAGAGCCAACATACACCACATGACTGCGGTATGAAAATTGAGTACATTTCATCGGGTATACGTCATGATGCGTCTACAATCGACGGGGAATGCCGCGTAAAAGTAAAATCTGATCCAGCCAGGGTCATTGCCTGGCTGGGCTTCGGTCCATTCATGGTTTCGACAACTATCCTTTATCGGGCCGCATCGTGCAGGGTAAGGGCGATGATTACTAGGTTCTTGTCTCAGCTGGGAATTACCACTAGACTCTCTTGAACATCTCCGGGAAGGGAGATCGTACCAAACACAGTTGGGTTAAATATTTCATGGATAATTTGGACTTACCGGCATCAATCTTTTGGTCCAAAAGGACCGTTGTAGAGCCTTAGAACCTACTGAACCTTCGAAACAAGGTTATCACCTTCTGCACCTATGCGAAGGTATATAAGGTCGATGCTTCCTTTCGTCTAGGGCATTCAGGCTTGATCCTGAATCAAACCGGGAATTCCGCAGCACATGGCATATTCGAATTTAACCGAATTTGTGATTCTGTCGATGGCTTGGTCCTCTGATAAATCGTTCGTTGAAGTGGAGGGCAAGTTTACAATGTAAATAGTCACGACCGTAAAAACGTGCCTGAACATACTCGAGGTGTATTATTTAGGATATCGACCACTATGCAGAGAATAGTTCTGTTAATCTACAGCCTGAGGATCATGGGAATCGAATATCTTGCAATTTCATCCAGTTTATGAACGATAAACAGGGCATAGTTAAGCACATACATTCAAGTATATTAAGACACCTGGATTGTTTGCCGCATCGTCGCTCCTAAAGAAGCAGAAAGTGTCATTTGTGACAGCGGATTTTAACAATTGCAAAGACGCAGGTCAAAGAGGAGTTCCCTAGTCAT